GCTGGGAAGACACAATAATAATTGCATAGACAATAGAAAACTCAGGGGTGTGGCACCTGGGTGGCTCAGTCAGTTAAGTGGCCCACTTTGACTCAGGTCATGATCTCATGGTTCACGGGATCGAGCCCCACATCAGGCTCTGTGCTGGCAACATGGGGCCTGCTTGGGATTCTCTGTCTCTTTCTCTGCCCCTTCCCTGCTCACGTATGTGTGCTCTCTCTTTCCCCCTCTCTCTCTCCCTCTCTTTCTCTCTCTCTCAAAAACATGAAAATAAATAAATAGATGAAGCCCGCTGGTGGTACCCGTTACAAAGAGGACGAAACTGTTGTTAGGGGTAGATACAGATCAGGGGAGCGGGGAAGGCCTCTGAGGAGGCGATGGTGTGGGGCGAGGGGCGCTTGCCTCGGGGGAAAGAGCTGTGCTGGAAATCGGAAGTGAGCATAACCGGGTGGAAATAGATACAACTGCCTCCTGGGGAGCAGAGAGCTCAGCTCGGGGAGCAGCGTTCAGGCACATTCCTAGACCCTGTTGGCCTCACGTGCTGAGCAAATCGTGAGCGTCGGTGAGCATTCGCAGAGGAAAGCGGTGGGCCGGTTAAGGGGGCTTCTCCCGTGTGGCCCTGGTTTCTCTCACAGTGTTTCCTCTCACGTCCTGCGCTAGGCATTTGAGGAATGGAATAAGACCGAGCTCGACTCGTTCCTGATTGAAATCACGGCCAACATCCTCAAGTTCCAAGACAGCGACGGCAAGCACCTGCTGCCGAAGATCAGGGACAGCGCGGGGCAGAAGGGCACAGGGAAGTGGACTGCCATCTCAGCCCTGGAGTACGGCGTTCCTGTCACCCTCATCGGTAAGGTGCCACTTCCACCTGGAGCCTTTTATCTCATTGTTTTGCTCTTGACGTCCTCCTAGAAAATTGGTGTAGACTGGCAGCTAAGGAGCGGGTCTTTGGAGAATGTGTGCAGCCCTCGTCAGCCTCCAGAGTGCTTTCTGCTCTTCTGGTGTGCGAGGCTGACGTTGTTCAGTCTCTTCCCGGTAACCTCCTCTCAGTCATACGGACTTTGAGATACATTTGGAAATTCTTGGCTTTCTTCTCCAGTTTGACCTTTGGGATAGCTTTTTTTTTTTTTTTTTTTTTTTTTAAGTTTATTTATTTATTTTGAGAGAGAGAGAAAGAGAGCATCAGTGGGGGAGGGACAGAGAGAATCCCAAGCAGGCTCGCGCTCTCAGCGCAGAGCCTGACGTGAGGCTCGAACCCACGAACCATGAGATCATGACCTGAGCCGAAATCAAGAGCCAGAGGCTTAACCGACTGAGCCACCCAGGTGCCCCTGGGATAGTTTTTGTCTTAGTGATTGAACTGTAGTCGGTGACCTCCATGACTTTCTAATGGGTCAGATCACTGTAATGAAGTTTTTCATACAAAAGTTCACAGAATAACATAAGCTTATGTACTCAGCATTTATTAATATTTTGCTGAGGTTCCCTCCCCCCCGATATTTTAAAAATAAAATACTGCCTACACATTTCAAGTCCTTTAACATTCTTGTCCTAAGTTCCTTGCCCTTCTTGTAGAAGAAAGCCACTGTCCTGACCATTGGTGTGTATCCTTTTCGTGCATGTTGTTTGTCTTATAGCCGTGAGCTAAGCCTCAAACTCAAAAAGATACAGGGCGAAGGAAATCATAGAAAGCAGAAATAGAGAACAAATAATGAGGATTAATAAAACCACAAGTTGGTCCTTTCAGAATAAAATAGCTACATTTCTGGCAAGAGTGAAAAAGGAGAACGGGGTGCCCAGACAGCACCTTTTAAAAGGTGTCCTTTTAAAAACCCAACAAATTAATTTAAAAAAAGAAAAGAAAAGAATAAAACAAGGGGTCTAGTGTGTGTAATGAAAGGCTGATCTTTGCTGATGGCAGAACGGCTCCCTTTCCAATAAAACACAGTTTCCTCCTCACCCTTCCGGTTAAAGGTTGTCTTTCCCTCCCTGGCCTCCTCCCTCCTTCTGATTTCCTGATTAATTGTGGCTCCTTGGTGACAGTGAGCTGGGGCTGTGAGACACCGTAAGGAGAAGCAGGCCAAGCAGAAGGAAGTGGCCGAGGTTTAGCAAATCTGAGTGTTGCCTGGGCTGGGGACCGAGGGGACAATAGCTGGGAACAGTGTAGTCATCACTGACCCAAATGGGAGAGTATTGCGGGCTCAGAAAGGATCCCACTCTCTTGTTTGAGAGACGGTGTACCCCTTCTACCCAGCAGAGGCAGGCCAGGCTTAATCCCCGGATGGGCACCGTGTGTGTTTGCTGAACTATCGGGGAAGTAAGTCTTCGGGCTGAGCCTTGAGTAACGCCGAGGGCTTGCGCCACACTGGCCTCCCGGTGCCAGCGGCCTTGCACAGATACTTCCTCCTGCTTGTGCCGAGTCATTGGGTGTGTGCAGGCCAGGGGGCTGCCCGGGGACAGAAGGACTACCCAGCGTTCTCGACAGAGTTCTCGAGTGTGTGTGGCTGGCACCCTTTCCTCAAAAACAAAGCCCTTTGTTGGTCCCCAGAGAGTTTACTTCATTTTTGTCTGCGGGGAAAGGAATGGCTAGAGGAATTCTTCTCATTAGAGAACTTGTCAGTTGAGGGGCACCTGGTTGGCTCAGTCGGTGAAGCATCTGACTTCCGCCCAGGTCAGGATCTCGCGGTTCATGGGTTCGAGCCCCGCGTCGGGCTCTGTGCTGACAGCTCGGAGCTCGGAGCTGCTTCTGATTCTGTATCTCCCTCCCTCTCTCTCTCTCTCTCTCTCTCTCTGCCCCTTCTCCCCCTCTCAAAAATGAATAAACATTAAAAAAAACAGACCTTGTCAGTTGAGCAAGTAGTCTTTTATAAGGGTTAGTTCTTGAAGATACTAAATGTCTTGATATGAAAATACCTTTCTAAAATGTTTTTTAGTCCAGTGAAACAAAGTTGTGGTGATTATAGATGTACTGGAAACTACATTTTCACAAATAGAAAATGGAGTGTTTTGAGGGGTGAGTCTAGGTTACCTCTCAGTGTTCTAGTGGTTTCACACCACCCCCCGTGTGCAGGCAATGCCGCCATAGTTGAGCCTCCCACCAAATTCTGAGGCTGCCTGTTATTCACTAGTTTTTGAGGAGTAGCGAGTGCTTTTAGAGTAGAGTCTTTGATGAGCATTTAAAAACTAAAGTCCTCTCAATTGAAATTGAAATTTGACTTGGGAACCAACAGAGTAATTGTGAATCATGGTGGCTTTACCTCCTCGCTTTTTCTGCAAAGCTCCCCATTGAGTTACGTGTTGATTTTTGTGGTTGATGCCTACATTATGTTGGAAGATTGACTTGTTTTTGGAGTTTTAGTTTCCAAGTCAGCTGTCTAGAGTTTTGTATAAACGTTCTTCCTGGGGCATCTGGGTAGCTCAGTTGGTCAAGCATCCGAGTCTTGGTTTTGGCTCAGGTCATGATCTCTCAGTTCCTGGAATCAAGCCCTGAGTTGGGCTCTTTGCTGACAGGGCAGAGCCTGCTTGGGATTCTCTCTCTCTCTCTCTCTCTCTCAGTAAATAAATAAACTTAAAAAAAAAAGTTCTTTCTGAGCCATGTTAGATTTTGCGGCCCAAGACTGAGACTTCCGGCTCTTTGTACAGTTGGAGATCCGGCTCCATTTCTATTTTTTCCTCAACTTCTCGGGCTTACGTGTACTCTTTTCTGTCCAGTTTCACGTGTGAACTTCAGTAACGTTATCCTCTCTCCCACGTAGGAGAGGCAGTTTTTGCTCGGTGCTTATCATCTCTGAAGGACGAGAGGGTTCAAGCCAGCCAAAAGCTGAAGGGTCCCCAAAAGATCCAGTTTGAAGGTGATAAGAAATCATTCCTGGAGGACATTCAGAAGGTGGGGCCCGCTCCCTGGCAGTGGTCGCGGTTGGCGCCTTGGGCGGCAGTGGGGGTGGGAGCGGCCCGTGGAGACGTGGGAGGCCCCGGGTGGGGGCGGCAGAGTCCAGCCCCGTCCTGACACCGCTGTCCGCGCCAGGCCCGGCCCTGCCTGCGGGGTGGACGTGGCTAACCGTAGCTCTGACGCGTCCGTCGTTCCGTAGGCCCTGTATGCTTCCAAGATCATCTCGTACGCGCAAGGCTTTATGCTGCTGAGACAAGCCGCCACGGAATTCGGCTGGACCCTCAACTACGGTGGCATCGCCCTGATGTGGAGGGGGGGCTGCATCATCAGGAGGTAAGTGCGGGGACGCGCCGTGGCGCCGTGCTGGGAGTCGCGGCCTCTGTGCCTGGGGACGGGTTCCCTAGGATGTGCGCGGCCAGTCCCCTCGCTGGCGACAGGACGGGGTCGGCTGTTCTAACTAGACTGTCAGCCCTACTCCCTTTAAACTGGTTCTGGGAGGACGGTCATGCCCTCTGGCCTTGCCTCGTGGGACGTGGGCTCTGTTTTCACTGAGCAAACAGCCGGCTTGAAGGGATAAGGAGAGTCACTCTGTACCTCGCGGGCGGATGTACCAGCTTCCGGCTTCCTTCCCTGCCTTCTGGCAGGCGTTGAGCGCGCGGAGGTGAAGTTTCATGGGTTTCTTCCCTCTTGCTTGTTTCAGCGTGTTCCTAGGAAAGATAAAAGACGCATTCGATCGGAACCCAAACCTTCAGAATCTACTACTGGATGACTTTTTTAAGTCCGCTGTTGAAAACTGCCAGGTAGGTAGCCCAGAGCTGGGCGGTGTGGGAATTCTGCCTCACCGGGCTTTGTGTTTCCCTCACCAGCATCAATGCCCGTGAGCGTGGTTATTTCAGACGCAGCCCGTTCTCCTCTCTGGGGGCTGACCCCGAGTCTTTGGCTCTTTCTGGCTCAGGACTCCTGGCGGCGGACGGTGAGCACCGGTGTCCGGGCGGGCATCCCCATGCCCTGCTTCACCACCGCCCTCTCCTTCTATGACGGCTACAGACACGAGACGCTGCCCGCCAACCTCATCCAGGTAAGCTTTCGGAGCAGGTGGTAAACACTGACACGGCCCGAGGGTCCGTGTCCCCGTGTTATCCCAACCCATCCAGTTCCTTGTTTTCCAGGCTCAGCGGGATTACTTCGGGGCTCACACTTACGAACTCTTAGCCAACCCCGGACGGTTTGTCCACACCAATTGGACAGGCCACGGTGGCAGCGTGTCGTCCTCTTCCTACAACGCCTGACCGGACGGGTCACCCGCTACGATTCCACAGATTGGGACATTCCACTTGGCCACACGACACCGCTTACGCAGCCCTCTGCCCCACAGCCCACTGCGCAGACCTTTTAAAATAAAGTCTCACAAGGGACTCCTGAAAAAGTCGGCATGAGTTTACTTGTAACGTAGCTCTTTGAGACCCGCCATGCCCTCGGCCCCCGCCCCTTGGGGCGACCCGGAGGGGACCATGTGCGCGGTAGCGTGAATCAGCTCCACGTGGCACCTGTGGTCGGGGAGGCAGCGCAATCTTCCCGGCTAGAGGCGCACGTAGATGGGAAGGGTTTCTGTGGAGTCCGCTCAAACTGGAACCTTTGTATCACGTAGTAGAATTCCCAATTTTCTCTACTTAATAAAAGATACATTCTATCTGTGCTTCATCCCCAGACTCTCCAGTAGCCTCACCTGCCACACGGAGCCATTATCCCCCTTGGCAGAAAGATCTGCAGTCGGTTTCCTCACAATTGACTCTGTTTGTTTCCTTCCAGCCTCGTTTACGGTTTCCTCTCCGTTTCCTTTAAAGAAAGACTGTAATACAAGAAACAGACCAAAGTTAGGGTAATGATTAACTCGGGGAAGGACCAGGAGGCGATGGGGGGCTGAGGGTGCAGGGGGTGCGAACGTTTCCTCGGGTTGGGCGCTGGGCCCTGGCCACTCACAGGTACAGTCTTCATGGCTTTTGTCACTTCATCCCACATTTTAGGAAACTCCATTTAATTTTTTTTTTTTTTTTTATTTTTGGGACAGAGAGAGACAGAGCATGAACAGGGGAGGGGCAGAGAGAGAGAGGGAGACACAGAATCGGAAACAGGCTCCAGGCTCTGAGCCATCAGCCCAGAGCCCGACGCGGGGCTCGAACTCACGGACCGCGAGATCGTGACCTGGCTGAAGTCGGACGCTTAACCGACTGCGCCACCCAGGCGCCCCAGGAAACTCCATTTAAATGACAGGGTGGGCTCAGTGTGCCCCACCTCTTTCTGTTTGTCCCTAAGCCAGGCCCTGGGTTTGGGGTGGGACTTCTGGTGACCTAAGCCTGCCCCTTGAATCAGATCTTTTTACTTGATCTTCTTTACTCAAGAAAAAAAATCCTGCCAGCAAATTCTTACTGATAGTTCTGTGGCCTGGGGCCAGTGTAATTGTTTTATTCCAGCAGCTTAACTCCAGAAAGAATTCTGTGGAATGCTTCAGAAAGTCCTGAGAGGGTCCTAGAATAGAGCCAGAGTTTCCCTGTTTTGACAGTTGGTGTCTATAATCTCAGCTCTGACCTCTTCCAGAAAAGCGCGGGGACAGGCAGGGGCTGACACGGGAGGCGGTCCTTTTTATGAAATGTTCCACTTTTGAGACTCAGCCTGGATGTGAGTACGCAGCGAGACTGTCCCCCTCCCTGATCACACCTTTAAATATAAGAGGTGCTGAGTCACTGCCCATGACAGGGTTCTTTTTTAAGGGACGTGAATCACTCAGTGCAGCTTTTCTCACAGGTGAACTATGGCCACTTGTGCTTCTAGAATGGAGAGCGAGTGCCTTCAGAGAGAAGCACTAGCGAGGCATGGGAGGTTTAGGGCCAGAAGGAAAGGAAAGGAAAGGAAAGGTGGACTGTCCAGAAGAGTGCTTGAAATACTAGTGACGCCATCTGACAGAACACAAGCCCCTGATCACCGTCCGGAAGCGGAAGCCTCGGCTCCAGGCCCCTTCACCGGCTAGCTGTGGAAGTCTAGGCCAACCATTTTCTGTCTCTGCCCTCAGTTTTCTCATCTGTGAAACAGGATGGTAGTACCTGTCTCCTTAAGGCTATTTTGAGCATTTGCAGAGCAAGAACAGACCAAGATTATATGCTTGGCACATAATCACCTATCTGTGGCATTATTACCACTTCCAGGTGTGTCTGTCCCCGAAGCAGAGGGATTTCTGAGCATTAGAAACCAGATTTCTCAGCACCCAGCGGTGAGTTCACTCTGCAAACCAGTCCTCAGAAGGTTCCTGGTGGGGCTTCTCTGTGTGCTGCATGGCGGGGGGGGAGGGGTGGGGTGTAGGTCACGACAAACATCTTCCAGACCAGTGGAGCTTCTCAAACTGTATGTGAGCCCCCACTCCCGGGGGTGGATCTTGAAAAAAAGGGCAGCTTCTGATTCAGCAGGAGAGGGGTGCTGGGGGGCGGCCCCATGCTGTGCATTTCTTTTATTTTTTAATGTCTAGTTTTGAGAGAGAGAGAAAGCAAGCACAAGCAGAGAGGGAGCAGAGAGAGAGAGAATCCCAAGCAGGCTCTGCACTGCCAGCACAGAGCCCGATGTGGGGCTTGAACTCATGAACCATGAGATCATCACCTAAGCTGAACTCAAGAGTCGGACGCTTAACTGACTGAGCCACCCAGGCGCCCCTCCGTGCTGTGCGTTTCTCACTAGCTCCCAGCTGAGGCCACCCTGGCCACTCGACCACGGAGCAGTGCTGGAGCGCGGCAGGAGGGGCGTCAGTGCAGAGGCAGGATACCTGAGCACACACGCCCTCGCTCTACTAACTGGCGCTGTCCCCGCAGGTAAGTTCTTTAAACTCTCTGACTTGACATTTCTTCATAGTTAAAAACTACTTCCCGGGGTGCCTGGGTAACTCGGTTGCGCATCCAACTCTTGATTTAGGCTCAGGTCATGATCCCAGGGTCGTGGGATTGAGCCCTGTGTCGTGCTCGATGCTCAGCTGCGTAAGATTCTCTCTCTCCCTCCCTCTACCCCTCTCCCTCACTTGCACGCTAAAACAAACAAAAATAATAATAATAAAAAAAGACGCAACTACTTCCCTAGGTTAGTGGGATGATAAACGAGATTATACAAAGTCCTTGGCACGGTACCTGGCACACAAGGCATAACAAAAGGAAGTTTTTACTGTCAAAGAATACAACAGTCCTTTGCCTAGGTCCTTGGGGGGTGGGGGGGGGGGACTTTTTACTATATATGCTTTCATGCTTTTTGAATTTTACATCCCATGACCTACTTGAAAAACGTATCAGTGAAAACTCTTAGCTCTAGGAAGGGCAGCCCAGCTTACTGGGTGGGAGCCCGGGCCCAAATCCCAGCCCCACCACGAACTCACTGTTGCCCCACACGTGTCTCAACCTCTGTACCCACGCAGTTTTCCATTCACACAAAAGAGGTGATGACAATACCTACCTCACCGAGCTCTTCTGAGGATGAAATCAGTGCCCGCCGCATAGGGAAATACTGTTTGTGGGTTCACTATTACCCAGCTCCCGTGGAAGGTGAGGCAGTCCACAATTCCGAAAGCGATGGAGCTGGTCGCACAGGGGTCTGTCCCCGGACCACGCAGGGACAGTCTGGTGGCCATTCTAGCAAAGGGCCTCCCTGGGCAGAGATTGTAGGCCTATTAATGACTTCAGCCACAACTTCTGCTTTACTTGGGACACAAAGGGGTTGGGTGGCTAGGAAGGTGTATGGATCAGATAAGGGAGGGGACAGGGTTTCTCAGCAAAGAGACTTGAGGCAGGCGATTGACAAGTGTCGCGCATTCTTTGAGGTAGATGTGGAGCCCATCCCTTTAGGAGGCGTAGAGAAGTCGCCAGGGTGGGTGTAGATGTGTGTGCCGTGTTTAGTATGGATGCTGGCACATATGTGTTCACTGTCTAGGAATCCTATATGTTGTTCCAGTTACTACTGGAACTACCCTAAACTCAGTGGGAGTAATATAACCATCGTTACTACCCTAATCCCGCGGGCTAGGTTAGGAACTGGAAGGGCACATCTCTCCTCCACAACATCTGGACCTCAGCAAAAAGACAGCTGGTGGCCAGGGCTGGGATCACTTGGAGGTGACCGTCCTCTTCACGCATCCGGTGGCCGATGCTGGCTGCTGGCTGGGACCTCAGCTAGGGCTGAAAAAGCTACTTGTGGCCTCACCACATGGCCGTCGGCTGCCCCGCTTCACGGCAGCCTCGGGCTGGGCTAACTTCTCACGTGGGAGCACAGGGCTCCAAAGGTGAGGAATGTTCCCGCTAACAAAGCAGACGCTGGATTGCCTTGTAAGACCTAGCCATGGATGCCACAGGGAGTTATTTCAGCCCCATTGTATCAGTTACAAGCAAGTCATAAACACCCCAAATTCAATGGGTGGAGGGCTAAATTCTACCTTTTTTTTTTTATGTTTACTTTGAGAGAGAAAGAGAGTGCACATGAGCAGGGGAGGAGCAGAGAGAGAGGGAGGGAGAGAATCCCAAGCAGGTTCCGTGCTGACACCATGGAACCCGACGTGGGGCTCGAACCCACGACCCCTTAGCTTGTGACCTGACACCGAAACCAAGAGTTGGACACTTGACTGACTGAGCCACGCAGGTGCCCCTAGAGTCCACCTCTTAATGGCGGAGCGGCAGTGTTCTGGAGGAACACAAGAGTCAGGAGATACTGGCTCTGTGTTTTGAGCGAATATAATCTGCCACATACGCTTCTTTTGAAAAAGACAGTTGGTTATACGAAGTTAGGAACTCTGGCCCTGCTTGCTAGTGTTCCTGAGTTCTCACGCCGTATACATGGCACATACTGGAAAGTAATAACCGAGTGTGTGCCAGGCAGTTTTATAATACAACACCCCCTGAAGCAGGTACTACCGTCAGCCCCAATTCACAAATGAAGTTCCTGGATGGTTAAGTAACTTGTCCAAGGTCGCATAACTCCTGAAGCACTGGAACTGGAACAATGGCAAGCTGCTGCCGGAATCCGGGCAATTAACCGTTAAGCTCTTAAGGCTCGAAGTGTACCATTCACTTATTCACTCGGCCACTGGCATATTTACAGTATACCCACTATGTGCCAAGCACTGTGACGGGACTGTGTGTCAGTGGTGAGAGAAGATGAAAAGTCCTGACCTCATGAGCTTATAGAATCTATACTACAGCTAATGGAAATTGATTTTTTTTTCCTTGAGAGAGAGACAGAGAGTGGGGGAAGGGGAAGAGGGAAAGAGAATTTTTTTAATGTTTATTTATTTTTGAGAGAGAGTGTTAGTGAGGGAAGGGCAGAGAGAGAGAGGGAGACAGAATCCGAAGCAGGCTCCAGGCTCTGAGCTGTCAGGACAGCGCCCGACGCGGGGCTCGAACTCACGAGCCGTGAGGTCATGACCTGAATTGAAGTCGGATGCTTAACCACCCAGACGTCCCGAGGGAGAGAATTTTAAGCAGGCTCCACGCTCGGTGCAGAGCCTGACGCGTGGCTCAATCCCACGACCCTGGGATCATAACCTGAGCTTAAGTCAAGAGTCGGATGCTCAACCGACTGAGCCACCCAGGCGCCCTGGGGACTGATTTTTGAACCAGCAATTTGTAGCGCATTTATAGGGGGAATAAATGAGGACTGTTATTGAGCTAAGTATTCC